AGCTGAAGTCAGACATTCAACCAACTGAGCCACCCAGGTGCCCCAAACTTAGAACGTTAACAAAATATGTCACATTTTACTTGGACTATGTAAAGTAAAATTTTAATTTTCTACTGAGTACTTTGAAATATGTGTAATTTTTAACATTCTAAAATTTTGGTTAGATTACCATGAAACCAGTAAACACATTCCAGTCAACCCAGAGACACCGAAGTGACCAGAGTGTTTTCTAATCTCTCCCCAGTCAACCAAAAACTAAAATTATACACACACACACACACACACACACACACACACACACACATAATCCTTTACCTGTAAAAAGTTCAACCGGGCTAGAAAATCTGTGATGTAACTTCCTAGGGGTTTAAGACTTGGATATGATCGTGCAGCCCATATTTCTGGAACCTTTCCAACAAGCAAACTGCCAGAGAGTGCCTCCAGTGCAGAATCCATTACGACCAAACCCTTAATAGCTTTTTCAAGGTCCCGTAGAGTATTGCGTATAGTTCTAATTAAACTGCAAAGAAAAGAATCACAGTATCATTGTACATACGCTGGTAAATATCAACATACTGTTTTTCCAGAAAAAGAAATCTCACTCACGGCTTTATGGGAGTGTTTCCCCGAATGTACTCACCTCCCTCTTGGTAATGGAAGGTACTTTTAGGTGATACTTGGATGAACTTTTTTTTTAAGTTTATTTATTTTGAAAGAGAGAGAGCATGAGAGAGGCAGAGAGAGGGGGAGAGAGAGAATCCTAAGCAGGCTCCGCACTGTCAGTGCAGAGCTCAATGCAGGGTTTGAGCTCACAAACTGTGAGATCATGACTTGAGCCAAAATCAAGAGTTGGATGCTTAACCGACTGAGCCACCCATGCACGCCTGGATGAAACTTTTTCATTTTAATCATTACATAATACAGAAAATGGTACCAAACAGCATATCAAAATTGTTTTCTGGGTGTTATGGCTTAAGACCAGGCTAATTTAAGCAGAGGATGATTTGGGGGAAAATATTAGGTAAATGATGTTCCAGATGGCATAAAAATATGGAAGAGTTATAAACGTGTAATGCAAAGGCTGACATTTGTGAAATGATGCATTAAAGCATAAAGCATATATTCACTGATATGCTTGCAAAGACTTTGCTTCTCACATAGGCCCAAACTGCTGAGAACACCATAAATATACCTGAAGTAAGGGTTTGAGGCTAGAAGCCTAAGCAACAGAGAGATAATATGGTAGTACATATAAACATGTATGGTCTTTAAATAAAAAATACTAAACTAAGGCATCATAGTGTTTTAATATGTTTTGTTTTTAAATGTCAGCAAATCCTGAAACCCAAATAAACTTGAAAACATCTTAGAAAATTCATGACCAAAACAATTTCTCCATCCCTTAAGCCGTATTGTACTGTAGAAAATTCAGTGAAAAAATTCAAAGGGGCACCTGGGTGGCTCAGTCAGTTAAGTGTCTGACTCTTGATTTCAGCTCAGGTCATGATCTCATGGTTCATGAGTTTGAGCCCCATGTTAGGCGCTGTGCTAACAGTGTGGAACTTGCTTGGGATTCTTTTTTCCTCTCTCTCTCTGCCCCTCCCTCACTCTTCCTTTCTCTCTCTCTCCCTCTTTCAAGATACATAAATAAACATTTAAAAAATTCAAAGCAAAAATTTGTTTGCTATCATGGGGTACCTAAACAACCTAGGTTGGACTCAGGAAGAAAAGGGAGGGTGCATGTGTCACATGGTGGAACAATGACAAAAGAGGTAACTACATACAGGCTCAATTAATATTCATTTGGTCCTGAGTTCCTGAGGAGACTAGTAAAGGATGGATGAAAAATTATGATGAATGAATATTTTCACATAAATTTCACAAAAATAAATTCACATGTAAGTAAAAATAGATCTCATTTCCATCATCATTTTTGCATTCTAAAAGATACCCTCGCTTCTGGGGCGGAAGATGATACAACTTTAAAGAGTAGGAGTGGATCCTAAGGAAATGGCAGGTTTGGATAATTTTTTCTTAAAATTTTAATGTGTGTCTTTTTTTTTTTTTATCAACTTGGGTTGGTTGTCTTCTGAACCCAAAAGGGTAGAGATCCTTACTTGTTAAATCTTTCCATTTCTTGTACTAACACAGTATTCATGCTCTCTTCATAGCTCACAGGATACTTCAATAGTGCTGTTTCAATGTTGAAATCATTCGGTAGCTAAGAGAATGGGTTTGGAAGGTCACATATTACACTCAGAATGGATAATTCACTTCATTCAGCTGTCCTATCACTAATAGCTAACATGAGGCAGTTACTGTGGGCTGAGCATTGTGCTAGCCGCTTCCCATACATTATCTCATTTCACCTTTACCTTACACTCTCAGGTGGCCATTATCATCTCCATTATACAGATGAGGATATTCAAGTACAGTTAACCCTTGAACAGTGCAGGTTAGGGCACCGACTCCACACCCCCCCCCCATATAGTCAAAACTCCATGTATAAATTCAACTCTCCAAAAACTTAAAAAAAATTTTTTTTTTAATGTTTTTATTTTTGAGACAGAGACAGATCGCAAGCAGGGGAGGAGAAGAGACAGCGGGAGACACAGAAACCAAAGCAGGCTCCAGGCTCTGAGCTGTCAGCAAAGAGCCCAATGCGGGGCTCGAACTCACAGACTGTGAGATCATGACCTGAGCTGAAGTTGGACACTCAACCGACTGAGCCACACAGGCGCCCCCAAAAACTTTTTTTTAATTAAAAAAATTCTTCTTGATATTTGTTTATTTTTGAGAGAGAGAGAGACACAGACAGAGCATGAGCAGGAAAGGGGCATAGAGAGAGGGAGACACAGAATCCGAAGCATGCTCCAGGCTCTGAGCTGTCAGCTCAGAGCCTGACGTGGGACTTGAACCCATGGACTGTGAGATCATGACCTGAGCTGAAGTTGGACGCCCAACCGATTGAGCCACCCAGGTGCCCCTCCAAAAACTTAGTTACTAATAACCTACTATTGACTGGAAGCCTTACCACTAACATAAACAGTCAACACGTATTTTGTATGTCATATGTATTCTATACTGTATTCTTGCAATAAAGGAAGCTAGAAAGAAAATATTAAGAACATCTTAAAGAAGGGAAGAAACATATTACCGTGCTATATTTATAAAAATAAATTCATATGTAAGTATATCTGTGCAGTTCAAACCTGTGTTGTTCAAGGGTCAACTGTACAGAGAGGTTAAATAACTGCCCAAGGGCACACAGCCAAAAGGTGATTTGTTTAAACCCACAGGTCTCTAACTGTAAAGCCCATGCTCTTTACTATAGGCTATGGCACTTTGCAGAAGATACAGATTTCTGAAAAGCCATGTGATTTCTTTTGTAAGCCGAATCTCATTTTCCACTGATAGAACAGATTTTCCATTTCATAACTGTTTTATGGTTATTTTCAATCAGTTATTAAGTGGCTCCAAATAGCTTAGCTTACCCCACTTTCAAATAATGTGTGACTGTAGCGGGTTCCAGGTTATAGAGAGAGAAGACTATCAAGTGTCTGATTTCTATGAGGCACCTCAGAGATGCTTGAGAAGTGAAGGGGACTTTGGGACTGATAACCAAGTCTTAAGACACTCCTAAAAGGCAAAGAAGTTTCCCAATCAGGGAAGTTCTGAACAAAGAACTGAGCTGCCCAGAGTGTCTGTAGATGATGGTCCCTGAGCGGTGCAAAAAACTTACAATAATGTAAGTCACACTAGCTGCTGTCATTCAAGGACCCTTGATGCCAAATAAGTCCAAAATGCCACTGTTAGATAACTTCCTGTTAGGGACCTTGTGAGAGCCACCATTCTGCAAGGGCCAGAACCACCACTCCCCATCCCCCGAAATAAACTGCAGAACCAGTAAGGGACCACGGGGGAGAGAGGCAAAGAGCAGAAGCAGCAGTCCAGGGGACAGAGTGGGAGGAGGCCGGCTGGCTTTCACCGAAGGGTTACAGCAGGGCAGCTCCCCTCTTTCTCCAGTGGCTGCAGCAACGTGTCCTGCGAGGAGGCTCTCCTTAAGGGGGGGGGGGGGGGGGGCGTGCTGTCCATGGGTCTTCAAGACAGATGGACTATGGGTCAGGTTCTGCTCTGTCAGAATACTTGACACTGAAATATGGGGACAATTACAGTATTTACCCCAGAGGGGAATCGTGAAGATCTGCACATGCGATCATAATCCTTCTAAAGTTCCCTTTGTAGCTCCTTATGGAATTTAAGACACAGAAAAAAGGTGAAAAGAGTGTCATCCCACTCTACCTAGTAGGCTAAGTACTTCGAGCTATATTATGAAGGAAAAAAAAGGTGTAGTTGCTAATTTAGTGCTGATCTTACCTCCCTGTGCCCCCTCACTCCCTAAGATACAGATTAAAAACTGTATCTTAGGTTCACTCCTTGAACCAGCAAATTCAGACCATTTCCTCCAGTTTTTAAAAAGTAGGTCTATTCATTATCTTTGGAAACAATAAGTCATATGTTCATTTGCTCATCCACAACTATAGTTGCTAAGAACTTACTATGTGCCATCATGCAAATCATTTTAAATTCATGTTTTGTTTTTGTTTTAGAGAGCGTATGTGCACACATGAGCAGGGGAGGAGGAGGGAGAGACAGAGAGAATCCTAAGCAGGCTCCATGCTCCACATGGGGCTCGATCCCACAACCCTGGGATCATCACCTTAGCCAAAATCGAGAGTCGGATGCTCAACTGAGCGAGCCACCCAGGCACCCCAAATTCATGATCTTTTAAATGTTCACAAGAACCTTATACAGTTGGCACTATAATCACCACTTTACAGATTTGGGAACTAATCCTCACAAAGACAAAGTATCTCACTCAAGATCCTAATGCCGTTCAACCGGAGTGCTCAGATTGCCATTTCAGGACCACTTTAATTTACATTATAAGCATCAGATTCTAAACTAAACATCACCTTGTTGAGAATATCTTCAGTAATTTCTAATAGAATCTGGTCAGTACTTCCTGAGGACCTGGTCTGTTTGGAGCCTCCCTGGGTGAGAAGCAAGGACTCAAAGAGGACTTTGGTTTGATGCAGATCTTTGGAGATATCAACATTTTCATGTAATCCAAATATCTCAGGGTGTTGAGTAAATGGAAGTTTCTACCAGAAAACAGATGAAGAAAGAAGCATCACATTTTCACCAGATACATTAATTGAAAAGGTAAACACATGCAGCCCCAAAAGGGTTAAAAATCAACTATACATTAATCCATGAGACATCAAACTCTCCCAATTTTCAGTAACTTCTAGAAACAAAAGATACTGAAAGTTGATTGAAAACCATACTACTTGGCTAGCCCTCTATATTACAGGGGAACATTTCATTATTTGCTTTTAGAAAAATCACACTTAGGTCTAACCCCATTTTCAGTGACATCAGTTACCTTAATGAATTCAATGTACTCATCGTAGGAGCCTTTGGGAGGTGCAAAATAGTTTCCACTGGGAGAAAACTTGTAATGAGGGTTTTCAATTATTTGTGGATTATAAAAGTCAGCCAGCATGGTTAAGAGGAGACGTCTGTCCCAGTCATCTGTCACTCTTCCTCCATAGTTACATTCCCCAGTCAGGTAGGAGATGGCTTCAAATGGAATTGTGTTGTACTCATTTATAAATAACTGAAACAAAGAAAAAATGAAGTGAGAAAAACATTAAAGTCTTTCACGTCATTTCCATTTTAAGATGAAATTAAATGTCAAGATGCATAGAGGTGGGGTTGAAAGAATTATCACAATGAGTTACCTTTGGATGGCTGGGATTGTTCATATTTATTTTAAATTACTTTGCTTATCTGCATCTTCCAATTGGGGGGGGGGGCAGGGTGGCAAATAAACATGTATTGCTTCTGTGATAAGAAATCTGTTTAACAAAAAACAGATGACATGAAAATTACCAAGTCTTTTTCATATGGATTTGGGTAATTTGCCCTTGTTTTAGGGTATTGGTTGTTAATTAGGGGCAATTTTGTCCCCAAGGGGACATCTGGCAATATCTGGGGACATTTTAGATCTGTGGTTGGAGGTGTTACTGCCATCTAGTGGGCAGAAACTTGAGACGCTGCTAAACAGTGCACAGGACAGCTGCCCACAGTAAGGAGCTATCTGACCCCAAATGCCAAGAGCACCAACGCCTAGAACCAGGTGCCTGGTTTTGGGCACTGTTTGCAATGTGATAAAAACAAAGCAATTCAAACTTTAGTGCCAAAGCCTGGTTCACACAACATGACACCATTTACAATAGTAATAAAAACTGGAACACCTGGCTGGCTCAGTCAGAAAAGCATCTGACTCTTGACCTTGGGGTTGTGAGTTTGAGCCCCAGTTGGGTATAGAGATTACTTAAATAAATAAAACTTTAAAAAGTAATAAAAACTACTATTTACATAGCTTTTATATTGTCTTGTTCATCTCCCAATAACCCTGTAAAGTAGGAAACTGAGTCTGGGAAATGTGAAATGATATGAAGGCCTGAATTTATTTCTCCTTTACATTTTCCCACACACAGGAATTTTGGTAGTATATGTATTGGGATGGTATAAGTTACTGGATGGGAGCTTTTACTTGCCCCTGAAAATTACCTAATAGTGCAGGAATTATAGCAGAAATGGTACACAGTTAAGAAAAAATATCTCTAAATTATCCAGAGCCAACTTAAAAGAAGATATCAATCTTTTTTGGAGACTTCCATGTTTTCAGGAGGAAGAGAAGTGTCAAGAGATATGAATAGGAGACAGACAGAGGGAAAGTACTCTTTGTGGGAGGGGGGGGGGCGTGGTGAATAAGTTATTTGTGAAAGAGGAGAGTTTCTCCCTTTCTTCTCTTTGGGGGAAAGAAAGGTGTGTTTAACTGGGTTTCCCTCCTTTCCCAAAACTAAAGGAAGAAACCACAAGAGAAATTCATGTTAAATTCATGGCAAATGCAAGATGTAGAGAACAACTCATTCCTTGGTTGTCTATCAACTTAGCCATCAGTTTCATTGATTAACCTTTTTGGAAGCAAGCAGTATTTTGCTGGTATGACTAGGTAAAGATGGTTTAAAGACTGCCCCCTGTTCTTGAAGATATAAAAGATAGATTTAATCTATGCCTTCCAGCTCCAGTGTTGGGACCAGAAAGGTTGATGACACCAGAGGCTGCAGGCAGGGGCCTGGCCAGAAGGTGGAGAATTCTCAGTTGACTGGTTTTCTGCAGTAGGATGGTTTTAGCAAGACATTCTCCAAGCTTGCGCTCTATCTACTAAATTATTTTTAAAAAACAAACAAACCCAGTATTTAGAATCAATGTCATTTTATCATGTAATTGTGATTCTATAAGCACTAATTTCATCAGTTGTTCAGGGATTTTCAAATTGATACGCTTGTTCTAGTTAAGGTTTCTGCCTTGTGTAAAAGAAAAAAGAGGGGCGCCTGGGTGGCTCAGTTGGTTGAGCATCTGACTTCATCTCAGGTCATGTTCTCATGGTTCATGAGTTTGAGCCCCACATCGGGCTCACTGCTGTTAGTGCAGAACCCGCTTCAGATCCTCTGTCCCCCTCTCTCTCTGCCCCTCTCCAACTCATGCTCGCTTTCTCTCTCAAAAATGAATAAACATTTATTTAAAAAAAGGAAGAGTTGATAAAATATCAGCAGTTTCTATAAAAATTATTTGTTATGCTATAAATATGATTAAATGTTCATACCCTTACAAAACCCCACCTAAGTAAAACCTAATAGCATCAAGTGGGTTTTATAAACACTTCCGGTTTCCCTTTACGAGGCTCCATGTCACAAAGGCTCTTGTCACAGCAAAGAAGCAGAAATATATTAATACTCTGGTTGTCCATCTGGATTACTATATTTAGTAAAATATGACAGAAATAATGGGAAAAGTATTGGGGTTGGAGAGACTGGAGTTCAAATCCTACCTCAATGGGCAAACTCGTTTCTTAGCTTTGGTTTTCTCAAAAATAGGGATAATACCAACATTACAGGGGTGCTGTGAGGAATAAAATTAATATAAGTAATGTGCCTAGTTCTAAGTCTGAATCAGTAGGAATTTACAGCAGTTTTTTTATGCCGGGAGAGGGCCAGAGGCTGCTGACTATCAGAATAGATCACATTGTGAGTCTACAGAAACTGGAAAACCCTGCCACTCACTTTTCCAGCCTCTTTTATTTATTTTTTAAATGTTTATTTGTTTTTGAGAGTGTGAGCAGGGGAGGGACAGAGAGAGAGACACACACACACAGAATCTGATGCAGGCTCCAGGCTCTGAGTGGTCAGCACAGAGCCTGATGCAGGGCTTGAACTCACAGACCGCAAGATCATGACCTGAACCGAAGTCAGATGCTTAACCAACTGAGCCACCCAGGCACCCATTCCAGCCTCTTTCAGAGTTAAAGGTTAGGCCTGCAAGTTAGACGTTGAACTGGGGTTTAGAGGTCGAAAAAGCAGGAACAGCAAAGAATCTTTTTTTGATGACATCAGAGGGCCTGGAGTAGACCAGAGTCTGTGCAGCAGCTCTCTGAGCAGTGGTGTCTAATATTCAGCCAGGGTTGAGGAGCTGCTGTTACCAGGACATGGTGTGAATCTGGATATGAGTCTGGATGCCTGGGCTGGCCAGCCATCTTGGTGATTCTATGATCTACCCAAATATTCTTTTCATAAATTCCTTTTCTACTTAGAGCTAAATTGTAGCTTTGACTGAGCAGAGGAAGAGAGTAGAGAATAATAAGGACCTATAGAAAGCCAACACTTAAGGAAGGCATTGCAGAAAGACAGAAAGAACCAAGGTCCTTGATGGCAACACTTGCTGAATCAACCAACTCCAGAGCCTGTCCTTCCTCTGTACCTCTTTATTATGTGAGATGATAAGTTCCATTATGGCTTAAGCCAGTTTGAATCAGGTTTTCTGTTACTTGCAGCAGTAGAAATCCATAGAGATAGTGCTTCATAAACCATAGTTATAATTTTTACTACTATCTCCCACCTACTAGTGATGTTGGGAGGAGTAAGTTTATCTAAGCAAAGGGAATTGCCTAGGGCCTGACACACAGTGATCCTCCAGCAATGTTAATTCCTTTCTAATTTTACCTGTAGTTGTTGAATACTGATGCGTAAGTCAGATTCATTAAATCCATATGGAATATTCCAACCAAGAGGACCAAATTTCTTTCTCTCTTGCACCAGGGCATGAAAAAAACAAACTCCAAACAGCAACTTCTCCCATGCCTTTAGTATAAAAATTATGCAACAAGAGAAAATTTTGATCAGATTTCCATTAGTAAAATGAGGGGAATCAACAGTATTTTTCATTATATGAGTCTATGATCATATATTTCTGCAAACTTCTATATAAAAACAATGCATACTATAAAAACTATTAATCTTATGACTCAAAACCTCCAAAGCTAGACAAACTGCAATATTAAACTTGATTAAAATGCAAAAGTTCTACCATTTGCCAAAGCAGTAGCTACTAATACTTTGGTATTGTTTAGATATTTACAACTTCAGTAGCTCAATGTTATCCTGTAGCCTCACTGGCATATGCTCACTACAAGTGAGCGAACATAGTCATTATGATAGGAATAAACCCGAATACATAGTTCCTGATTCTATGACTTTCCATGTGGAGGTCACTTTTGAAACCCTTGTTTATGCTCTCCTGGCATCTTCATATGTGTTGGTGCTCTGGAGGATGGCCATCTACCTCTATGAAGACCCCCTCCCCCACCGCTCCAAGTAAATTTCAAGTATGCTACCTTGATGGTTTAAGTTAGATCATTTCAAACATAGCTCCAAATGCAGTAAAAATCCTTCCAACTACCTTGATATGATGCAGTAGTAGAAATTATTTTTATAATATTAAAGTACAAGCACAGGGGCACCTGGGTAGCTCAGTTGTATAAGCATCAGACTTCTGCTCAGGTCAAGATCTCGTGATCTGCGGTCAGTGGGTTTGAGCCTGACATCGGGCTGTGTGCTGACCCCTCAGAGCCTGGAAGACTGCTTTGGATTCTGTGTCTCCCTCTCTCCGCCCCTACCCTGCTTATGCTCTCTCTCTCTCTCAAAATAATAAACATTAAAATTAAAAAAAAAATACAAGTACACCATGGCATTACTGAATAACTATATTCCTGAAATGTACATAAATTAAAGCATATTTTAAATAATACTGAAAGAAAACTGTGGTGAAAGTTTTTTTTTTTTAAATGTTTATTTATTTTTGAGAGAGAGAATGCAAACAGGGGAGAGGCAGAGAGAGAGGGAGACATAGAATCCAAAGTAGGCTCCAGGCTCTGAGCTGTCAGTACAGAGCCCAATGTGGGGCCTCAAACTCACAGACCGTGAGATCATGACCTGAACTGAAGAAAGACGCTTAACTGACTGAGCCACTCAGGTGCCCCTGTGGTGAAACATTTAATAGGGGAAACCTTTTGGCAATGAGAGCAATAACCTAATTTATGTGTATTTCCCACATATTTTCACACAATGGAGTTTTTCTTAAGGAAGTCATAATCCCTCCACATTTTTGGTCTGTGCTTATGGGCCAGAAACGGTCCTGTGGTATGAGAGAAATCTTGGGATTTCTTGCAGGAGCTCAAACCCTAGATGGGGATCAGACATCATACCACCTTTCCATTTTATTAAGCTCTTTTCCTAGCTAAAACACCAAATATCCTCCTTTTCTCCCAGACTTTCAAATAAATTTATTGCTCAGAACTAGGGGCATGCAGAAGGTATGAAGCAGAGAGAAACTAGCTGGCTTACAAAGAATTCAATTCTTTATTTTCAATTCTATTATTTTTTTAGCTCAAATAGGCCAGTGTGATAAATGGCATGTTGGGGTGAGGGCAGGGAATCAATTTCCCTTAGTATTGACGTTTCCTTCCATGTGCAGAGACCTCAGTGTAACACTTCTGGATTTTCCCCATCCTTGCATTAATCACTGCAGGAGAAGGGACCTATCTGGTTGATAAATTAGGGAAAAGTTAACCAGATATGCTTTGCTCAGCTTTTCCCTCTTCGTCTTAGAAGTGAGCTTCCCTTGGGGAAGAAAATGTTCCTCTGTTCTCACTGAGGGTGGATAAGTCTGTTTAATTCTATTCAGTGATGCCCCATTTGTTCACAGGTATCTACTACATCTTCCAACCTAGTTTATATCAGTAACTAAGGTTAAAATTTGGTTCCGGGGCGCCTGGGTGGCGCAGTCGGTTAAGCGTCCGACTTCAGCCAGGTCACGATCTCGCGGTCCGTGAGTTCGAGCCCCGCGTCAGGCTCTGGGCGGATGGCTCGGAGCCTGGAGCCTGTTTCCGATTCTGTGTCTCCCTCTCTCTCTGCCCCTCCCCCGTTCATGCTCTGTCTCTCTCTGTCCCAAAAATAAATAAAAAACGTTGAAAAAAAATTAAAAAATAAAATAAAATAAAATAAAATTTGGTTCCCTTGAGGTGCCTGGTGGCTCAGTCGGTTAAGCGTCCAACTCTTGATTTCGGCTCAGGTCAAGATCTCATGGTTGGTAGGACTGGGCCCCACTTGGGATTCTCTCTCTCTCCCTCTCTCTCTGCCTCTCCCCCACTAACGTGCATGCACATGCTTTCTCTCTCTCTCTCCCTCACTCTCAAAATAAACTTAAAAAAAAATGGTTCCCTTATGTTTATACTTCTTCCTGTTTCTTAGTGGTTAAGAATGAAAAAAAAAGGTTGATATTTACTAGGACTCCTAAGTCCCCAATACCATGTGCAAATTACATGAGCACACTGGAAAGCATTATTAATATGTCAAAACAGTATCACTAGAATTTAAGTTCCATGATGGCAGATTTGTGGGGAGGTGTTTTATTTTATTCTCACTGCTTTATATCTAGTACCTGGGAAAGCACCTAACACACATTTTGTGGAAAGAAAGAATAAATGATATGAAAATAGATTGCTACTCTTGGGTCTTAAACTCATTATTGGATTTTGGTGTACTAACTAAGATATGTTCATTCAGTCAACAAGCATTTATTTAAATGTCTACTCTGTGGGAAGCAGAGCACAAACTGCTGGGAAGAAAATGATGAACAAGATAGGTACAATATCAGTCTTCCCAGAAAATGCCACAGCTTAACATTATTAAATATTTATATTACCATATTTTCTCACTTTAAAAACACATTTGAAAAGCTCCAGAAGCTGAACATTACCAGTTCCTTTCCCTGGCATCCACTGAAAAACTGAGAATCAGAAACGGGATCAGTGAGATATGATTGGAGGAGATTTAGCCGAAGACCTGTGGGAGGCTCATTAGTCATTTTTACTCCATTCTGTAGGATGGTTACTGGGAACTAAAGACAGAATAAACAGAGCATTACACAAGATAAGCAGCTTGAATCCCCAAAATTCAAACACTAGTTGGTTAAAAGTGCGTATGAAAGAGGACTCCAGAAATATATATATTTTTAAGTTTATTTATTTTGAGAGAGAAAGAGGTGGGGGAGGGAGGGGCAGGCAGAGGGAGAGACAGAGTCCCAAGCAGGCTCTGTGCTGTCAGCACAGAGCCTGATGCAGGGCTCCATCTCACGAACCATGAGATCATGACCAGAGCTGTAATCAAGATTCAGATGCTTAACCACCTGTGCCACCCAGGCGTCCCACTCTAGAAATATTTTTTAAGACCTCTTAAGGTTAAGCATTTAAGGCTTGATTAAGATACACAACGTTGGGTGCCTGGGTGACTCAGTCGGTTGAGCGACCAACTTCAGCTCAGGTCATGATCTCGCTGTCTATGAGTTCAAGCCCCGCGTTGGGCTCTGTGCTGACAGCTCAGAGCCTGAGTCTGCTTCAGATTCTGTGTTTCCCACTTACCCTGCCCCTCCCCCACTCATGCTCTCTCTGTCAAAAATAAATAAAAAAATAGAAAATAAAAAAAGATATACAATGTAGGGTTGCCTGGGTGGCTCAGTCAATTAAGTGGCCAACTCTTGATTTCAGTTCAGGTCATGATCCTAGGGTCATGGGATTGAGCCCTGTGTTGGGCTCCACTGGGCGTGGAGCCTATTTAAGATTCTCTCTCTCTCTCTCTCTCTCTCTCTCTCTCTCTCTACCCCTCCCCCACTTGTGCCCCACTTGCACATGCTTTCTCTCTAAAGTAAATAAATAAATAAACTTGGCAACTTGTACAGAGCATATTGTGTGTTAAAAAAAAAAAAAAAAGTTACATGGGTGCCTGGATGGCTCAGTTGGTTAATCATCAGACTTTGGCTTGGGTCATGATCTCACAGTTCATGGGTTTGAGCCCCACGTTGGACTCTGTGCTGACAGCTCAGAGCCTGGAGCCTGCTTCAAATTCTGTGTCTCCCTCTCTTTCTCCCCTACTCCCACTCTGTCTCTCAAAAAATAAACATTAAAAAAAAACGTTACACAATGTAAGAGATGACTAAATATATGTACTAAACTCCACATGAAATAAACATACTTTTGGAGAAGGATAACTTGTGAGCCAAAGCCTAAAGGATGGATTACAGACTTCAGGAGTAAAATCTTCACATATTTTTTCCAATACGGGCATCCAGGAGACAGCGAGGTGACAATTCTGTAGGCACACCCAAGTTCCTTCTTCTATCGCTGCTTTAATCATTTTTGTTGCAACTGGTCCTTGTCCTTGTCCCAGTGAAATAGCATGAAATTTATTTCTAGACATCGCTTTATCATTTGCAAATTTCAGCAGGCCTAAGAGAGCACAAAACATAGTTCCACTGTTTACTGTAAAATCATGAAATATACCTTATGTTTCAGTGTGCAGGCACATAACTGGAAGATTCCAGTTGCTTTTCCTTACATATACCAGATTTACTAACTGATCTACGATCATGTAAGAAATGGACATTGAGCAAAATGGATCATTTATAAGTTCCTAGAAGTTTGCAGGGGGTAGACTTACTGGCCATGGGATCTGCTCCTGGAGAGAGCACAAAAATTAAAGGAATGGTACAGTTTGAGTCCAAGTAACTCTTTGTCAAATCAAATGGTGGAGGCTCCACAAACTTTTTCCCCAGTTTATCAGTTACATAATTTGTTATAGCTGGAGTTATCTGTTAAAGAGAGAAAAGATATGATCTTTAGGTTAATTTTCATTTCACATAACAATTTTGATTATTACTGGAAATTAACAAAGAGTACAATTTGTCTATAACCTCTCCCACTCACTCCCTGCCCCTCCCCTGCTCTTGTGCTCTCTCAAAATAAATAAGCATTAAAAAAAAATGCTCTCTTTTGCTTTTCAACAGATGTGGTATTTATGAGCCAGCTTCAATCTCGCTGATGAGGACCATATTCTAGGGGACTTTACTAGCATGAAAGAAAGAACTTGAATGTCTGGATGATCTCAAAAACAGACCTGCCCTGCCAGTCCTCAGGCATTTGCTCTGGGCTTACTTAAGAGAGACAGAAAGATTAACTTCTATTTTATTTAAGCTACTGTATTTTAGGTCTCTTTGTTACAGTGGCCTAGTCTATACCCTAACACTCATAATAAAAAAATACAAATTATAACTATACTTAAATGCCATTTTTTGCCTTTCAGATGGTTATGTTAAGGGACAAAGATAGTCTCTGTGTATTGACCCTTAGATTGTTTCCTTCTTCATAGCAGGCTGAAACCTATTAGTTCAAAAGCCCACTGACACCAAACTAAAATTTTTAGATATTCAATTATTGTAAACATAGCCCAAATAAGCAGATTTTTAGCCATTTACAGCCTGCCTATTTGCACCCAACATCTGCTAGCTATGGTAAATCCTAGGATATAAAGACCCCCAGCCACTGTAGCCCTTCAGAGCTCTGATCCAGGGACTCCAAACCATAGTGCTGTTGATAAATGCTACCAAGACCCCACACAAGCCTCTTCTCCCTTCCCCCAAGGGAGTTTCTTTGCCATCTTCCTCTTTGGAGTTGTGGGACCCCCACCCCCCAAATCCCAGCATCTGGAGAGACTCCTGCTATGAGGGGCTTCCACCTCTCAGCATGCAAACCTGTTCCAGCATCGTCCAGCATAGCTCTTGTATGCTACTGCCACCTTACGTCCATGTCTTTTCCCCAATCGGTCCCCAGATTCCTCAACCCCCTCGCACAGATTAGCAAAGATACAAAAGTTTGCCAGCATTCTGTGCGGGAAAAATTATGGGTTAAACTGATATTCTCATACACTGCTGTGGAAGAGTAATCTGGCCTTTCATGATGGGCAATTTGGGAATGTCTATAAAATTACAAGTGGGCAAATCCATGGACTCAGCAATTTTATTCCCAGGACTTTATTCTGAGAGAGAGTTGCACATGGGAGAAATGACTTTTGAATAAGGTTATTTATTGCAGCATTTTTATAATTGTAAATGTCCATCAATAGGAACTGGTTAAAGAATTTATGGTGTACACTTACAATGAAATAGCATGTAATTGTAAAAAAGAATGAGAAAGCTCTTTATAAACTGAGAGAGGAAAAAGCAACATGCAAAACAGTGGATATGCCTATTTGTGTTAAAAATAAATGGACAAAGAATTTGTGTGTATGCATATTTATATGTGCATAAAGGGGAACAAGAAGCAGATAACATTAACTGCCTGAGAGAAAGGATGCCAACTGACTGGGAGGTGCAGATTGGAGGTCTATCTTTCACTGTATTCACGTATTCTTGTGATTCAAACACTGTTTCAGTTTTGAGCCACAAGAATTAATTTAAAATAAAAGAGTGAGGGGCACCTGGGTGGCTCCGTTGGTTGGGCGTCCGACTTCGGCTCAGGTCATGATCTCACAGTCCGTGAGTTCGAGCCCTGCGTCAGGCTCTGTGCTGACAGCTCAGAGCCTGGAGCCTGTTTCAGATTCTGTGTCTCCCTCTCTCTCTGCCCCTCCCCTGTTCATGCTCTGTCTCTCTGTGTCTCAAAAATAAATAAATGTTAAAAAAATTTTTTTAATAAAATAAATTAAAATAAAAGAGTGATATTCATCAACAGTAGCAGCAGAAAATAAGTAGAGAGGTATTAGATATCATCTTCTAAATGCCAAACAACTTTCTAAAGTAACACTGTAGGAATTTGGTGGAGGGAGGAGAGATCATCACAGACTTCTGCAGTCCTGGCATAGATGGGGGAAAGGATGGATCTTCTATATGAGAAATTTTGAGAAGTTGTGAGCAATTCTGTGGGTTTAAACAGTGGAAGTTTCTCTTTTTTTCTTCAAATGTTTATTTATCTTAAGAGAAAGAGCATGTGTGCACAGGGAAGAGGCAAAGAGAAAGGGAGAGAGAGAATCCCAAGCAGGCTCCATGCTGTCAGCACAGAGCCCAACACGGGGCTCCATCTCACCAACTGTAAGGTCACAACCTGAGCGGAAATCAATAGTCGGATGCTTAACCAACTGAGCCACCCAGGCGCCCTAGAAACAGTGGAAGTTTCAAGAAGATAAGAATGGAATGGCAGAAAAGAGGTATTATTAGCCAAGGTAACAAGACTATCAAGCTGTACTTCTGTCATTATTCTATAGGTATTGAAAGGCCACTGAAGGGTTTTCAAAAAGGACCTTGTAATGATGTAATAGATTTTTCTTCCTTTCTTTAATAACTTCACCTGGGCAAAGAGGAAATCTTTTTTATCCTTTTACTATTAACACTATGTATAATTTCTATCTAGCACAGATCTTCAGTTGTACATCTTAAGGGAAGGGAGATACTGAGTACACAGAGACCTTGCCCGTCATTAATCTATGCACAGACCAGGGCCAATGTTCCCTGAGATGATGTAGCTGCAATGAAGCATGATAATTTTCTGTAGAAAAAGTACCTTGTTCCAGTAATTTAATATAAAAAAAAAGTTATGACTTTTGTATAAGATTTTGATCCTTTATATAAGATACTCTAGGGAAGAAATTATGGAAACTTGAACAGACCTGGAGATAAGCTTTGTGGTAGTTAATTTTAGGTGTCAGCTTTGTTAGGGCATAGTACCCAGATATTTGGTCAAAAACTAGTCTGGCTGTTGCCATGAAGATATTTTTAAGATGAGATTAATCTTTTAAGTTTATTTATTTATTTTGAGAGAGAGAGAAAGAGAGAGACAGCGTATGGGAGGAGCAGAGAGAGAGAGAATCTCAAGCAGACTCCACACTAACAGTGTGGATCCCAGCACAGAAGTTGAACTCATAAACCATGAGATTGTGGCCTGAGCCAAAATCAAGAGTCAGAGGCTGAACTGACTGAGCCACCCAGGCCCCCTGAGATTAATTTTTAAATCCGTGGACTTTGAGTTAAGTGAATTACTCTCCGTAACGTGAGTGGGCCTCACTCAATCAGTTGAAAGGCTAAAGAGAAAAAAGACTGTCTTCCACTGAGGAAGAGGGAATTGTGCCAGCACACTGCCTTTGGACTCGAGCTGCAATATTGATTCTTCCAGGTCTCCAGCCTGCAGATTCTGGACTTACCAGCCTCCACAATCATGCGAGCCAATTCCTGTCAATCTCTGTTTCTGTCTCACCTATCCTATTGGTTCTGTTTCTCTGGAGAATCCTGACAAACAGAGGCTTTAAATGAACTTAGTTTAATTTGATTCAGTTCAACTCAATTCAGTGACATTTACTGAGATATCCTATTATCTTCTAGGCACTGTTTTAAGTCCTGGAGATATTGAGCAAAATAAGACATGGGTCCTGACTTCCAGAAGCTCAGAGTGTAGTGGGAGACACTGACAAACAAACCGATAATTATTGTATATTCCAGTGTGGTAAGTGCTGTAATGTGTAAGCACAGGTTCCCAAGCATGGCAGACTAGGCAATTACCCCATACTTGGCATTGAAACAATATCTCCATTGGCCATCAGGGAGCCATTTCTGTGGAGTGCAAATTAGGCAAGAGTTTCCCAGATGCAGAGCTAATCATTCCTAAGTTTCTAGTGAACAAGGGAAGCTATAGGCGATAAAATAATGAATATATCATTGTTTTGGCCTTAAAGAGACTATTGTCCAATGAAAGGAACATATATATACATACAACTATTGGGTAGGAAATAATGAGGTAAGTTTTAACAATGTACAAAGGTCTTTGAAGTTAAAATAAGAAGAAATACTCAGGAGTCAAGTAGTTATGTAAACTTCTGTTTGAATCTACTCAGAGCCTAAGTGAAGCATTAGATAATGCTCCTTGTGAAGCTCTACTAAAAACATAAATGTAAAAAAAAAAAAAAAGAAAAGGAAAGGAAAAAAGGAAAGAAAAGAAAGAAGGGATCAGTGCAATTCTTTCAATATCTCATTTTATACATGGAGCTCAGAAGGGTGAGGTGACTTTCTCAAAGTTCAAACTACATGTATAAACATAGTTTTTGGTTTTCTGCTTAAAAGTTTTTCTTTTGAGGGGTACCTGGGTGGCTCATTTGGTTAACCATCTGACTTTGGCTCAGGTCATGATCTCATGGTTCATGGGTTCAAGCCCCACGTCAGGCTCTGTGCTGACAGTGCAGAGCCTGCTTGGGAATCTCTCTCTTTCCCTCTCTCTCTCTCTGCTCCTCCGCCACTCATGCTTTCTCTCTCTCTCAAACTAAATAAACTTAAAAAAAAAATAAAAGTTTTTCTTTTGTAACACCATAATCGCCTTTCTTGAATGTGTGAAAATCAGAACTAGCCTGTTTAATTCACCAATAGAAAGATTTTTGTGTCCATTAGCCATCTGTATGTCTTCTTTGGAAAAAGGTCTGTTCATCTCTTCTGCCCATTTTTTACCTGGATTATTTGTTTTCTGGGTGTTGAGTTTTGTAAAACAGTATGGAGGTTCCTCAAAAAGTTAAAAACAGGACTACCTACCATCCAGCAATTGCACTACTCAGTAAAGGATACAAAAGTAGTAATTCAAAGAGATACATGCACCCCACCTCCATGTTTAACAGCAGCACTATCAACAATAGCCAAATTTTGGAAAGAGCCCAAATGTCCATTGACTGATGGATGGATAAAGAAGTTTGGGTATACACATACACACACACACACACACACACACACACACACACACACACACACTGGAATATTACTCAACCATTAAAATGAATGAAATCTTGCCATTTGCAATGACATGGATGGAGCTAGAGAGTATTATGCTAAGCAAAATAAGTCAGACAGAGAAAGACAAAACCCATATGATTTCACTCATATGTAGAATTTAAGAAACAAAACAGATGAAAATAGTTGGGGAAAGAGAGGCAAACCATAAAATAGACTCTTAACTATAGAGAATGGAGAGTTGCCGGAGGGGGTGGTGAACAAGGGAGCGGGCTAAATGGGTAATGAATATTAAAGAGGGCACTTCTTGTGATGAGCACTGACTATTGTATGTAAGTGATGAATCACTAAATCGTACACCTGAAAACTAATATTATACTGTATGTTAACTAACTGGAATTTAAGTAAAAACTTGTTAGAAGAAAAAAAGATTTTTGTGCATGTTTAAACTAATAAAATTATGACATGTGTAAGATTTTCTAACATCTTTTACTTCCAGCCAATATGGTCCTTTCTGCTAACAGGGACCAGATTTACCCTCCCACATAAACAACAAAAATGGGCAAAATTAAAAAAAAAACAAAAACAACCATTTTCAGACACTGGGCAATTCAGACAACAGGTGGTAGAGGACTTTGATCTCTGCCAAAGAGGAAACATACAAGGTGAGTTTGCTTAGGCTTTCTTCTGGGAGGTACATTTCAGCCTGTGGAACAGGAAAAGCCATTAAAAAGCAGAGCAACACAGTGTTGCAGAGTTGGGAAGACAGGAAACTCTTAAACTCTGGTTTAAGGAGGGAGGCTACTGGAAGTTACAGAGTTCAGAGTAGAAGGGAACTACCCAGAATCTGCCTAACAGTACCCTTGTATCTCTGCTGAATGCTGTGGTGTGGAAGCATAGGCCAAGCAAAGAGTGGCTGGGAAGCTATGAACTAGGGATCTACAGAGCTACCAGAGTTCATGCAAGGCCGGGAATCATTCAGGTTCCCAACCGCCATAGTGGAGAGCTCTTGGTGATCACTGGGATATTCAGTAAAGTCCCCAGCAGGGTCACAATTTAGTAGTGGAGCTAAATTATCTGTTGAGCTAAACTCTCTGTCGAGAAAAGGCTATTCTACACTTGTGCTAACAATTTTTTTTTTAATTCTTTAATGTTTATTCATTTTTGAGAGACATAGAATCTGAAACAGGCTCCAGGCTCTGAGCTGTCAGCACAGAGCCCGATGTGGGGCTAGAACTCAGGACCAGCGATATCATGACCTAGGCCAAAGTCAGACAGCCAACCGACTGAGCCGCCCAGGCGCCCCAAAATAAATGAACTTTATAAACAAACAAACAAACAAACAAACAAATAGAAATAATTAACAGAGCAGTCACCTATAGTATAATACCAAGCAGTCTAATGCATATCTAATTGGAAACATAAGATTGGGGTGGCAAAAAATATTTGAAGAAATAATGGCCAAAATTTTTCCCAAGTTGAGAAAAACTATAAACCCATATATCCAAGGAGTTCAATGAACCCCTCTGAGCATCTAGAATGAGGGCTAAAGAACCAAATAACAATTACTTTAAACCTAGTTTAAAACAGAACAACTTCTGTTTTTAAAATTTGAGCATAGTTGACATACAATGTTACCTTTGTTTCAGGTGTGAAACTTAGATTTGATAAGTTTATACATTATGCTAAGTTCACCACAAGTGTAGCTACCATCTGTCCCATTACACTGCTTTTACAAAGTCATTGACTATATTCCCTTATGTTGTGCCTTTTATTCCCCAGACTTCTTCTTAAATGGCAAATTAGCTGGGTTCGAAATAGAACACATTTGTCTTTTACCTTATCAGGTCTTAGGCACCGAAGAATTATTATCTTCTGTAGTTCATTCAGTCTTTCATCCATTGGTGCTGGAAATTTAGCATTATGTGGCTCTTTACTGTCATAGATTTCCCGCCATTCAGTTATATGTTTGCAAAAATGTTCCCTAATGATAAAAAAGCTAATTATTATTTCACTGGCAGATAATTTAAAAAGATATTGTTAAACAAGGAGATTACAAATTTACCCATCCTTACTCAATTCTAAATCATCAAGTTTAAACAAATACCTGAGTTCTTTGAAGGCAGGAAATTCACTTGCCCGACAAATTTCCTCCCAGCTTTTATCTGATAGCCAAGTTGGGTCAGGATTTTTCTCAGTACTCTTAAGACTTACTCCTCCAGTTAAAAGAAACATCAGTTCCTGGTACTCAATCTCTTTCTTTGCCCTGTATTCCCAAAATAAAGACTGCTGTAAATTGCTGATTTTTAAAATGGAATGAAATCAATTTCTGCTTCTATAGCCTCAATGAAATAATCAGAACTGATTTACCCTACTACCATAAACAACTAGAAAACTGGAAAAAGTGAATGAAACGACTGTTTCTGGAAGTTATACAATAGCCAGTGCAACACTGTGGTCCCTGAAAAAAGGGAGACAAATATGATTGTCCAAATCAATCGCTATGATTGCCCCAGCTATTTGCCTGGAGGCACTTTCCAGACTATAAAACAGAGAGGTGATCAAAATCAGAACCTGATAGTATTGTTGAGTTGAATGAACAGAGACCAGAGTTAAGGAAGGCTCAGGTGGTAGAATTTGTGGGCTGAGTCCCAGAGAGGAGGGAGATACATGGAAAAGGGCTTCAGAAATCTGCATGGGTATCCTCTTGATTCAATTGCTAAACACTAAGTTATATGTGAATAGGGTAAAACTCCAGGAGACCAGGCAGAGAATATCTGGGAAGCTGTAACCTGAATAGCTCCTGAGCTTACACAGAACTTGGAGAAGTGAATTCTTACCAACTAGAGATAAATCTTTGTTAAACACCAGAGGAATTCATAGGCAACATCAGAGGGATCACGCCTTAGTAGCAAAGCTAACCTAGTTTTAGAATTAAGTCTATTCTAGAGCTACTGTAAGAAAGCTTAAAAACAAGCCTTGGAAACATCAAACTAATGCAGTAATTTAACTACTTGCAAAAGTAAAGTCTAATGCTTTTTAAAGGAATTAAAAGCCCTTAGTATTTATCAATGTAAAATTCACAACATCCATAACCAGGAGAAAAGATCAGTCAATAGATACATAGAATGATAGAGATAATACAACAAGAAGACAAAAATGTTACAAGAGCTATTACAAATATGCTGAAGGAGTTAAAGCAAAACGAACGTAATGAAGAGAGAAACAGGCCATAGAAAAAATAACCAAATGCAACTTCTAGAGATAAAAAGTACAAAATCTAAAAGAAAAATTCAGGGGCACCTGGGTGGTCTGTTGGTTAAATGTCCAACTCTTGATTTCAGTTCAGGTCATGATCTCTTGGTTTATGAGATAGAGCTCCACGTGCTTGGGATTCTCTCTTTCCCTCTCCCTCTGCCCCTCCGCTGCACACTCACTCTCTCTCTCAAAATAAATAAATAAAAATAAAAGAAAAATTCACTGATTTCTTTCCAGATGTAGAGAAACCGAAAGGATTCATTGCCAGTAGACATACAGCATTAGAAATGTTAGAGAAGTTTCAAGTAGATGGAAATTTAGATCAACACAAAAGAATAAAGACTGCCAGAAATAGTAGCTATGTAGGTAAACATAAAAGACTTTTTTCTTATTATTTAAGTGTCTTTAAAAGACTATTGACTACTTAGAGCAAAATAACAACATGCTATGGGATTTATAATATGTACAAGTGAAATATATGACAATAATAAAACAAAGGCTAGGAGGAGAGAGTTGGAAGTAAATAGTTGTAAGTTCTTATACTATATGTATATATATGTATATGTATGTGTGTGTATATGTATGTGTGTAAATATATGTGTATATATATAAAGTTTACCTGAAGATAGACTGTGATGTTAAAAGGTATACTATAATCCCAAAGATATCACTACAATAATAAAACAAAAAATTATAGTTAGTAAGTTAACAAAGGAGATAAAATGGAATCATAATAAGTACTTAATTCAAAGAAAAAGAAAATGAGGAAATGAAACAAATGAGGAAATGAACAGATGTGCAAAACAGAAACCAAGTTGTAAGATGGTAGATTTCAACATAACTCTATTATGTCATTGAATATAAATGGTCTAAACAATTTCATTAAAGGTAGTGATTATCAGATTGGACGAAACAAATAAGACCTAACTACATGTTGTCAACAGAAATACAGCTTAAATATAAAGACACAAGTAGGTTAAAAGGAAAAGTATGGAAAAATGTATACCATGCTAACACTATTCAAAAGAAAGCTGGGGACAATAATAATATCATACAAAACAGATTTCGAACAAAGGATAACCCAGGGATTAAAAAAAAAAAGTCAAGTCAATTCATTAAGAGGTCGTAACAGTCCTAGACACTTACACATCTAATAACAGAGCATCAATACACAAAGAAATATTGATACAACTTTCAGAAGCAATCTCCATAGCTAAGAGATTCCAATCCTCTCTCAAAAATTGATTGAACAGGCAGACAGAAAATCAATAAGGATACAGTATATAGACTAGATTGACCTACTTGGCATTTATAGAATATTCCATTCAAGAGCAGCAAAATACACATTCTTTTCAATGGCATATGGAATACTTGCAGAGACAGACCACATTCTAGGCCTTAAAATGTCTCATTCATAAAATTTCTAGAAAAGGAATAATTGTGGAGACAGAAAGCAGATCAGTGGTTACCTGGGGCTGGGAGTAGGAATAGTAATTGACTAAATAGGGAAAAGGAAACTTTGAGGTAATAGAATTGTTCTAAAATTGGAATTTGGTGATGGCTGCATAATTGTATAAAAATACTAAAAATCATCTAACTGTATTATGATGGGCAAATTGCATAGTATGTCAATTATACGTAATAGGGCTGAAAAAAAGAGATGTTCTCCAGATAAATGAAAACTAAAGTTTATCACCACTAAACTGGCCTTACAAGAAATATTAAAGGGACTTCTCTGAGCTGAAAAGAAATGGCACTAATTAATAACAACAACAAAAAGTGAAAGTAAAAATCTCACGGAAAAGGTAAATAAATAGTAAAGGTAGTGAATTCAATCACTTTTAAAGCAAGTATGAAGGTTAAAACACAAAAGTAGTAAAATTAAAACTACAATAGTTAGTTAAGGGATGCATAAATGTGACATCAAAAATATAAAATGGGGGTACATCTGGGTAACTCAATTGGTTGAGCTTCTGACTCTTGATTTCAGCTCAGGTCATTATCTCATGGTTCATGGGAGCAAGCCCCACGTTGAACTCCATGCTGACAGTGCAGAGCCGCTTGGGATTCTCTCTCTCTCTCTCTCTCTCTCT